TTTTCATGTTCAGATGTGTCTTGTCACTAGTTTAGATGATTGCTGGGGTAGCAACTGCATTATATATAAATATATATATATAAAGTAGGTACGTGCATACATACGTGTGTGTGTGTATATATAAATAAAACCAACCTGGTAAATCTCACCATTTTTTCCGAACATGAAGTATTAATTCTGTGAGCCACGCTCCCTTTTTATAGCATCCAAAAAGTGAATACTCTTACAATGTTTTCCCCCCGCTTTTTGGAAGTTCATTTTTTTCTGCTCAGTAAGAATTTTATCATAATTTCATGCCCCCACACTTCACGGTTTGTTACTTGGTCTATTACTCTCACATTTAACTTGATAAGGTCCTGCTTCCTACGATATTAATTTTTGAGTTTTGATTCTTCACGGCTGCTGCTCTGAAGTCTTAGACACCGCTCTCAGCATCGCACACTGCTCCTGGTTTTAAGCTTTTCTTTCAACTGCAGTACATAGCTCTGTTTCTCCCAAACAACTTTTCAGTAAATTGTTATAATCTAATATTCTAAAATGAACGTTTTGCTTTTAATCAGGGCAAAACTGTGGACTAGTGACTTCTGTCAAACGGTTTGGTGATTTATCCTCATCTTCTTCAATCCTTTCTTCAAAGGAATTTAAGTCCGTTACTTAGCTCAGAAGGATTCTGCATCGTTGTGCATTTCATACATGCATGAAAGGAAGAACTGATGCTCATACTTGTCTTCGTGCCCTCTCTTTCAGCACCATGTTCTTTTCAACCCAGTCCTGTCCAGGACCAGGAAATGCAGCTGTCAATAACCTCCTTTGGATAACGTGAAAGTGTGCTGGAATAGTGAGTACGTGTGTTGTTGAATGGCTATTAGCTGGAAACGAGCAGATATGAAAACTCAGGTTTTGCCCTCGCTTTCTCCCTTCAACATTTACAGTGATCTAAAAGAGTGCATGCAGATCTGGACTGCAGGTCAACATCAGGTAAAAACTTCCCTTACCAACCTTTAGATCTTTAGTTATTGTCCTGGTTTTGGCAGGGATAGAGTTAATTTCCTTCCTAGCAGCTGGTACAGTGCTGTGTTTTGGATTTAGGGTGAGAACAAAGTTGATAACACACCGATGTTTTAGTTGTTGCTGAGCAGTGCTTACACTAGTCAAGGACATTTCAGCTTCCCATGCTCTACCGACTGAGCAGGCTGGAGGTGCACAAGAAGCTGGGAGGGGGCACAGCCAGGACAGCTGACCCAAACTGGCCA